TCCTTCAAAAGGTCCGGCAGATCGTTTTCTAGAAAATTTCGGTACTTTTCGCCATTTAATGCACCGTCAATAAAGAAGGGTCCGATTAATCGTTCGCCAAAGGTACCGCACCAAACGTTTACCGACCAGGGACGCTGGGGCTCCACTTGGTGTCGAAATGGAAGGACAACATTTCGAACATTTGTTATAAATTATTTTCAGAGCCGACTATTGTTGATTTAATGTTAATTTTTGTTTTTTAACAGTTTCAAATAATACATTTTAGAAGGAAACCCATTTTTCTTAAATTTTGAATTACAGCGCCATCTGTTGATAAATTGAAAAAAAGTTTTAAATAAAAGTTATTCATTTTTTTATGTACTACCAAAATCTGTGAAAAAAATTGGGTCATCCCGTTTGACTTTTCAAAGTTACCCCCCTTTTCCCCCTTAAGGAGGGGTAGGGGGTGGCTAGCGGTAGCACCAAATAATGTCCCCTTTGGTCACATTAACCTTTTATTTAAGACATTTTTTCGTAAAATGCGTATTTCTCGAGATATTGAGCTGTCTCAAGTTAAAAGAAACACCCTGTATAATAATATATGTACAGGGTGTTACTAAAATCATTTTAATAGCAAACCCGAAAGTAGAAAGTTATTTTTACTAAAAGAATTTTACAAACCTGTTTTGGATACTTATACAGGGTGTCCGGGAAAAGGAGGTCAATCCGTTAACCATACAGGGTGTCCGGGAAAAGGAGGTCAATCCGTTAACCATATATTCCTTGAGTTAAAACAATAAGACTTTCATAATACCATTTTTCAATTTAGAGCTTCATGTTCGATATACAGGGCGACAAAGTTTGAAATTTAAAACTGATTTTTTTTAATAATTCGAGTAATTGATAAGATATTAAGTTTAAATTCGGTACCCTACTTCAACATAAATAGTTACATTTTTGGAGACCAACAAAACAAAAAACAATTGTCAAATAATCAAAATAGGGGGGTCCAGTGCTCACTGACTCCCCCTATTTTTTAGTACGAGCGCCAATGACTTCCAAACGGTATTTTTTCAGTTAATCATTTATTGTTAAAAAAAATTTGTCTCTTATAAAATTTTGATAAAATGATTTGTTTTATAGATAATTTGTAAACTATGGGTCAGTCCATATCAAATCAACCAAAGGTTCTTCCCCCACCATCTCCGATTTTGATAATTTTTGGTAAATTTGTTTACCTCAGTAAAAAACTCAAAAATCCCATATATGAATTTTTTTCGATAGGTGGCTTTTGTTTTATTGATTTTTGAAAATCAAAAAATTCCGGTAAATTTGGGTCTTGCAAGTACTTTCAAAAATAGCGATATCTCGTAAACTATTAAAAGTAGAAAGGTGAGTGGTGGCTTATTTTAAAGGCCTTTTAGAGACCTTTTTATGATATATCACATGACCTAAATTTTTTCAAAAAAAAAATTAAATTTTGAAAATTTGATATGGACTGACCCATACTTTACAAATTATCTCTAAAACAAATCATTTTATCAAAATTTTATAAGATACAAAAAATGTTCAACAATAAATGATTACTATTTATGTTGAAGTAGTGTACCGAATTTAAACTTAATATCTTATCGAATTATTTAAAAAAATCAGTTTTAAATTTCAAACTTTGTCGCCCTGTATATCGAACATGAAGCTCTAAATTGAAAAATGGTATTATGAAAGTCTTATTGTTTTAACTCAAGGAATATATGGTAAACGGATTGACCTCCTTTTCCCGGACACCCTGTATATTCTTTGAGTTAAAACAATAAGACTTTCATAATACCATTTTTCAATTTAGAGCTTCATGTTCTATATACAGGGCGACAAAGTTTGAAATTTAAAACTGATTTTTTTTAATAATTCAAGTAATTGATAAGATATTTAGTTTAAATTCGGTACACTACTTTAACATAAATAGTTACATTTTTTGAGACCAACAAAACAAAAAACCATTGTCAAATAATCAAAATAGGGGGGTCCAGTACTCACTGACTCCCCCTATTTTTTAGTACGTGCGCCAATGACTTCCAAACGGTATTTTTTCAGGTAATCATTTATTGTTGAAAATTTTTTGTCCCTTATAAAATTTTGTTAAAATGATTTGTTTTAGAGATAATTTGTAAAGTATGGGTCAATCCATATCAAATTTTTGAAATTTAATTTTTTTTTGAAAAAATTTAGGTCATGTGATATATCATAAAAAAGGTCTCTAATAGGCCTTTAAAATAAGCCATCACTCACCTTTCTACTTTTAATAGTTTACGAGATATCGCTATTTTTGTAAGTACTTGCAAAACCCAAATTTATCGGAATTTTTTGATTTTCAAAAATCAATAAAACAAAAACCACCCATCGAAAAAAATTCATATATGAGATTTTTGAGTTTTTTAGTGGGGTAAACAAATTTACCAAAAATTATCAAAATCGGAGATGGTGGGGGAAGAACCTTTAGTTGATTTGATATGGACTGACCCATAGTTTACAAATTATCTCTAAAACAAATCATTTTATCAAAATTTTATAAGAGACAAATTTTTTTTAACAATAAATGATTACCTGAAAAAATACCGTTTGGAAGTCATTGGCGCACGTACTAAAATTAGGGGGAGTCAGTGAGTACTGGACCCCCCCTATTTTTATTATTTGACAATTGTTTTTTTGTTTTGTTGGTCTCAGAACATGTAACTATTTATGTTGAAGTAGTGTACCGAATTTGAACTTAATATCTTATCAATTACTCGAATTATTAAAAAAAATCAGTTTTAAATTTCAAACTTTGTCGCCCTGTATATCGAACATGAAGCTCTAAACTGAAAAATGGTATTATGAAAGTCTTATTGTTTTAACTCAAAGAATATATGGTTAACGGATTGACTTAATTTTCCCGGACACCCTGTATACAAAAAATACGTATATTTTATTATTTTATGAAAATAAAACAAAATAAGCATTAAACTGACAGATACATAACCTCAAATATTTGACTGCATTCCTTAAGGAATAATTATTAAAAATGTCAAAGTGTATTTTAATAGTAAAAATTAATTTTAATAGTAAAAATTATATTTACCCCAAAAGATTGAAAATGATTATAATTTTCCTTTGAAGTATTATCTTCCTTATTATTACTTTTATTTTCATTTAAAGTTTCTGATTTTTTTGTGGAGTTTGGCTGAAATTTATTAATTTTAAATTTAATTAAAATTGGTAGAGTAAATTTAAATTGTGAAGTACAATCATTGCTCCCTAACACTCTGTACATCTACTTACCACAAGGAAGTTATTGTTTAACAATCTTGCGTTAAATAACCCATGTTTTTCTTGTATTTCATTGTTACTTTTAAATGTAAATTTATCAACAACATTGGTAGTTCTGCTTTTTGATGAATTGATAGATTGGTTTTGAATATCTCGCAAATTCATTTTTTTAACTATTTATTGTATAAAAACAACAAATACAACAACAAATACAGTAACTGGTGTTAATATTCTCAACGTCAAATTAATTGTTTGTAAACAATAAGTACCAACTGTCAAAATACAAAAATCAAAAGTGATTTGATAAATAAAAGCTCAAACTTAAATTAAATTTAAAACGATTTAAAATTAATAAAATGTATATTTTTTTTTATTTAATCAGTTTAATACATTTTCAGATAGTTTTAGGGCCTTTAAGCTTAAGCTTTGACCTATTATTTTTAAACAATTAAAAATAATAGGTCAAAGGTGATTTGATAAATAATACAAATAATTGAGTTATCTGTCAGTGTAACACTAATTTCATCTTATTCTCTGAAAATAATACAATATAATTATGTATTTTTTGTTCTAAATTAAGATGTAAAAATACATGAGTAGGTAGTACCTACCTACCTACCTACTAGGGTGGGCCGATTTTAATATTTTTCAAATATCAAATTGTGCAATGGTGGAAAAGTTGTACATTTATAAGGCCAGAAAAATATTGTAAGAGTTTTTTTTTAATTTTAATTTCTTAAACTGCCGCAAGGCCTAGAAAGATCTTAATGTAATTTAGTATCGTTATAAATACGAAAAAAAATATCTGAGAGAAAATATTTTCTCTATATAGGGTAAAAAAAGTTTTGAATGATAAATATTTATTAAAAAAAATAAAAATAAAAATGAATTTATCATCAACACAAATTTAATTCAATTTATAATCCTGTTTTACCTGCCATTTTTCACAAACACCCAAAAACCACAAACAGATACTACTTGTAAAAATTTCTATTATTCAACTAATTGACGATGTCAAAATATTATAATTTATATAAACAGTGAAGCCAACTGTCATTTGTCCTACGTCAAACACGAAAATCTTAAAAAATATTTATTCTCCATTTTACGCCGTCTCTCCAATAATTGCAATTATTGCAAAATTTAAAATTTACGGTTTGACTTCATACAATTCAAAACATTAAAAAAGAAAAAAAATATTAAAGGAAAATAGTTTACTTTCCTATTTCAAAACTTTCCCGCTTATGAATAATTTTAATTTTTTTTTAAATTACTTTTAAATTTTTAGAGGCGTTGCGGCAGTTCAAAACATAGATCTATATCATATATATCTATATCAAAAAAAATATTTTGCAAAAAATGTTTACTTTCCTATTTCACAACTTTTTCTTAAATGCAGAATTTAATATTTTTAAATTTTAGAAGTTAAATATAAAATCGGCCCACCCTACTACCTACTAGGTACCTATATTGTATTATTTCCAGTAAATAAGACAAAATTAGAGTAAAACTGTCAAAGTGGGACTTTTTGATGTGGTATAAAAATAATTTAATTTAATTTTAAAAACTTATTAGGTAATTTAAAGACAATTTTAATAAAAATAAGAGAAATTTAAACTTGTGTGATAAAAATATTTTAATAATTTTTAGGACATTTTAAGACATTTTTAGATAGTTTAAAGTTATTTTAAAATATTTTTAAAATAAAAGCAAAATTTAATCAAAAACTTTATTGTGATAAAAATATTACAGTCATTTGGTATTTTAATACTCCTTATAATCAAACTTAAACTATTGTGTTATAAAAGTGATGTGGACTTTTATAGAATTAAAAAAACTAAGCAGGTAACTTATTCTGATGCTACTTCTTCATCTTCATCATCAGCTTGACTCTCATTTAACAACTCCTTAAGAAAAATATAGCAAAATAAGCATCTAGGTATTTAATATATAAATGGTAGACTTACTTGTAATACTTCGACTAAGTTCCTGGATTCGTCCAGCATCTCCTTGCAAACTTTATTTTCTTCTTGCAGTGCTTCAACGTTCTCCTTGAGCTTTTCATTTTCGTGCAGACTTTCGTTTAGGGCTTCACCCCGTTTTTCAGCCAATTTTCTCCAATAACCTTCGCTTGGAGCATCTTCTGAGGTTAAATCTTCCTCTGTGACAGTGTAATCTTCGAACGTTTGCACTGCCTTGTCCACGTACGATCTCTTTTTGGCCTCGGCCTTTTCCCGTTCACTAAAGTCACCACAACTATACACTATAAACAAACATATAATTTGCAATTTTACTTACGATGCCAATTTTGCTTCTTTAAAGGTAGTCGATTTCACCACGTTTTCCTTGTCGGATGTTACGTCTTTGAGCACCTTAGTTTTTCTGATACTCCTACTTATTTCCTGCACAAATAGGTAAACAACAAAAAAATAACCATAACCTCAAATTAAACAAAATCAAAATCATACCTGTTGACTCTGTGATTCCACTTTCACTACAACTCTTTTCGAAGCCTCAGTCTTCATGGTTGTGATTAAAATGATAGTATTGAATAAAAATTTATTTAAAGTAAGGGTAAATTGGATTTACCAACTCGTTTATTCGCGCTCTTTCTGTAAACAGAATCGACACTGTCGATTCGACAGCTGTAGGACGCGCATGCGTCAATTCAAAAGGAATACCAAGTTGGTATTACCAACTGTAAATTGTGACCAATTTAAAAACATAGTTTTAAGTTTAATTTAAAATTACAAACTTAAAAATAAATCTAATTCAATTTACTTTAAACTGCGTTTTAATAAAGTATTTTTTATTTAATAACAGACTTTATTTCCTTCAAAGTTTTGTTGGAAAATCTAATAGCAAAGGGTGCTAAACATTGAGCCACCATTTAAAAACAATTGAATTCAAACGTCAAAGTTTGACATTCGATTCAAACAAAGGTGTAAAATATTTGTTAACATGGATTCTGACTGGTAAATATACAATTAAATATTATTATTAATAATAATTAAACCTTTCTAGCAACCAGCTTAAAAGTACAATCGTTATACCGGATAAATACAGAGTTATTTTTAGAGAATTTCCGTATTTTAATATAGTACAGTCAAAGGTTTTTGATGATGTGTTTTATACAGGTAATATGACCATAAATATATTATTATAATTAATTTTTAGTGTAAAGACCGTTATAGGATATTTTTATATGATTTTAGAATATTTTAGCAGGATTTGTAGTTTAAAGTAGCAGTTTTGAGACATGTTCAGATAGTTTTAGAAAGTTTTTTAAACTGTTAATATTCTTTTTTAGATAAATCTGTTGTTGTTTCTGCACCAACAGGATCTGGTAAAACTGTTATATTTGAACTTGCAATTTTAAGACTGTTAATGAGCTATGCAGAAAACAATGAGCCTGTTAACTTCAAAATAATATACAGTAAGTATTTTTTTATTGTTTATAGGTATTTATTCGAAAAGGCGCCTAGCATGTGTTTCAGAGAAAAATTTAAACTTTTTTTTTCATTCTTGTCCAACATGTTAAAATAAAATTTCATTTTGAGCTCCTAAAATTAATTTTAAGATGTCGTAAAAGTTTTTTCATGCTAAAAGCGTGTAGGAACATATACTTAGCCACATAGCCACTTTAATTTAATTTAACTATTTGCTTTTTAAAAAGAACTGTATTTTTATGCGCTAAATTTAACTATAGTTAAATTTAGCGCATAAAAATACGTATACGACTACCAATTTTGTTTTTTTTTTCTATTAAATTATAAACCGGTGATTTTAGAGATAACAAATTATTATTATTTATTAATTATTTAATTGTTGTTATTATAAGATTGATTTTTTTCATTATTATCTGTTATATACATTTTTAAAAATTAAAAGAACAGCAATTTTTTTAACGGCGCCGTCCATAAATCTCGTGACGCTGGAGGGGATGGTTAAATGTCACGTGACAAAGTTAATCAATTAAATTGCATATTTGTTCCATTTTGAGTCAGATTATTGCGTTGAGTTGAGCAGTTTACTAATTCGTCACATGAACCTTTAGGGGATCTTTACATCGTCACATTTTTGCCATTTTATGGACGGCCGTAACCAAAGTCAACAATAAATTAAAATGAAACCTCGTAAATTTGAAATTTGACGTAATATTGGTTTTGTTCGATAGAACTAACAAATGTTAACGTTTCGGGACTCCAAGCAGCATTTTTGGTTCCAAAAACCATTACCAAAGTGCACTGTTCAAAATCAAACCTTTTGAAATACCTAATCAGAATTAGTTAAGGAAAAATAAGGTAATATACTTAAACGAGTAAAGCAATTTACCTTCTCGTTTATTAGGCAGAAAAGAATGCCTTAGTTCTATGATGTATTCACTAACTTCTAGATAAATATTCATACTTTACTTAATAAACTTGTCAAATTTAAAAAGATAGGCAGATTACCTAAATACCTATTTAGTCAAAATCTCAATTACTTTTAGGTACGACAATTTTGCTTTTAATTTAGGTAATTCTTCTAAATTATTATGGCAAATTATTGAACTAATTTAGGTAAATTCCTTTAAATATTAGTGACTTACTTGCAATCGGCTACGATCGCTAATACCGACGTTTTACGATAAATATTCGCGCCTATATTGTCCACCAGAATGCCAAAATCAACGAAAGCTTAAAGACCGCGTTGTGTGCTATTGATATAACAACATAGGTAACAATTATTGTGCTATAAGTGAACATTTTGCATACAATAGTGCTATATAGCACTATAGTGCTATAGTTAAGTAATCCAAAGAAATGGAATTTCCCATTGACCTCAATTTATTTTTAAATAATCCGAACCCTGCAGGGTTGGGATTATTTAAAGGGTTCCGGTACTACATGTAGTACCGGAACCGCCGTTGTTAATTCGCCTAGTACATAAAGATGAAGGAGTCCTAACTTGGAAGAAAATTCCTATGCTAGGATTTTCACTAAAAATATATATAATTTGCCTGAAAACTTAGCTAAAATCTACCTAAATATTTAAGCAAATTGCCTTAGAAACAGGAAATTTATTCTTTTATTCACAGGCTATATCCCTTACGATCTAAGGTGTATCATCTTTGAAACCTAAGTAATGTTGCTTAATTAATTGTATAATTTTCTTTAAAAATATCAGTTAAAGAATTCACTAATTTAAAAGGGGAATATTCCTCTGAATTCATTTCAGGCAGTTTGCCTTAAAAAATCAATGGTCCTATATAGTCTAATATTTTAGGTAAAAATTAGCTAAAATTTTGAACAGTGTGGTGATAACTTTAAATTAGTTAGGTATACTAAACATCTACTTCAATTTTTACTTAAAAATAATTCAAACTTTTAAATAGCAATATTTTGTAACAGAAACTCACGTAGCATTTATAGTGGTTAAACCGCGTTGGCCACTTATACTTGGAACTGTAAAGTATATTGCCAAAATCTCTGCCACGTGGTAGAAATGGGGAACACTTTTTTAGTGTCAGTAACTTAGAGATATAGTGGCCAAAACTTAATCATAACTTTACTAATCTTTACTTTCTATCCCCGTCTCTTTCCAGCATATTATTTATCTTATTATGTTTGCTTTCTCTGACTGGATATTAAACTAACACTGAATTATAATATTGTAAGAGTACAACTTGCAAATAATAACTAAAATTAAAATAATCCGAAGATATAAAATTAACACGAATTAAATTTTACTGTTAAACATGGGTAACAAAGCTTGAAATATAAGCATGCCCTGTTGAAATATTTGGTAATAAAAAAGAACAAAAAAAATCTATAAACTTAGAGGATATGAAAATTATTTATTTAGAGGCCTAAAATATTTTTTTTTATTATTTCTGGTCACCTGAAACCAATAAATAGGTATTAACGTGTTAAATTTGGTGCGGTAATAACCAGAATTATTTGTTTAAAACTACACATTGATTTCCTTACAATGGCGATTATTTGTAAACATGTCTGCTTTTAAAAAAGGAAACTTTAAAGTGGTAATTTTATACGAAATGTGGAAATCGCTTAAGCATGTAGCAAGAACGTGGCAATCACCACCGCAATTATATAATCAAGTTTCGCCACATTCAAGGTTTGGAAAAAGTTCCGAAAACTTTACCAAAACTGATATACCTACCCACTTTACTGCTACTACCACTTCAAAGTAATACTTAAGTGATGTGATTTGGTTATAACTGTATACAGTATTCATAATCCACTCTAAAGTTTAGACAACTTTAAGGTGGTGTCAAAAGTGGTCATATCATTTCAGATACCAGACTAATACACCAAAAAGTTATAAAACTATAAAGTATATTCTGCTGGTGCAAATGATTACAACTATAGCATATATGCTAATATAATATGGAGATATTTTAACTGTATCGTTGTAGATTTAGTTATTTAAACGTTATTGCCACTCATTTAAAGTGGTGATATCAGTTTTCGTTACTATAATGCTACTTGGGTATTATTTCCTTAAATGGTTACTATAAGGTAATAAACATTTAAGTAAAACTTAGTTGCCCCTAAGAAGACTTTGCAACTTTAAAAAAGTTTCAAGTAAATTAAATTTGCAGAAGTTACTTAAGTAACTGCTGCAAATTTAATTTACTTGAAACCGAAATATTTCGGTTGCTACTTGGGCATAATTTCCTTAAATGGTTACTATAAGGTAATAAACATTTAAGTAAAACTTAGTTGCCCCCAAGAAGACTTTGCAACTTTAAAAAAGTTTTAAGTAAATTAAATTTGCAGCAGTACATTACTTTCGGTTGCTACCTAAAGATTACATTATAATTATTTTTACTTTGTAGTCCCTTTGAAAGTTAAAATCTCGAAACTGGAACATGAGTTAAAAACTACAAAGTTAATAACTTAAAAATTATTATTTTAGTATTTGGAACGTTTATGGTACTAACCAAAACTACCGTAAAGTAAATTAAGGTGGAAAAAAACTTTAAAGTAGCAAAAATTACTTCAAAGGAAAATGCTTCTTACCGGCCATTGTAGGTACAGTACCACGTGGTAATGTAAATAATAAATTATTTTAATTGTTTGTAAATGGTTGTTTACTTTTAATAAATAGTAATTTTGTTGGTAATAGACGGTATTAATAATTAAATAAAAAATTAATATTAAATATTAAGATTTTTTTATTTATAAACATTATTAAATAAATAATTTGTTTATACTTAAATATTGATGAAGCGCATTTATTTTACAAAAACTAAATTCATAAATTCAACAGTAAAATTTAAAGGGTTTATAAATTTACCTGTCTAATTAAACATTATATTGTTATTCTGGAAGTTATAAACTACCAGTACATATTTAATAAACGACGACATTGAAAAACCAAGTCCTTGGTGGTTCCATTTAAAAAAGGAGGGATAGTAATACTATCATAGTATAATATAATATAAGTTTGACAAAGACAGTTAATATAGAAGTAAAAACAAATAAATAAAAGTAATTATAACGCTCTAGCAACGATATTGAAACGTTCTAGTAACGTAGCAGCTACGTTCCAAATAGTAGCAGGGTTTATAGCTAGTGACATATTTGTTACCTTTTTGGAACTCAATAATTTTTCCCCACTTTAGTCGTAACTTGAAAGAGTAAAATAAAGAGACCGGCGACTGTCGCAAAACACTTTAAAGTTTCTTCAATAGTCCCATATACGTAACAAATACTTAAATTGTTGCTTGGGACGCTACTGGTTCCTTTGCTCATTTAAAAAACAAATTTTAGTTTCTCCCATAAAAGCTCTGTGCGAAGAAAGACTTATAGACTGGAACAGTAAATTTTCCAAGCTGGGTGTAAGTTGCATTTCTATGACCGGTGATAGTGAGTACATTGATTTCGGAAGGCTTATCAGGTACGATTTTATTATTACGACGCCGGAAAAATGGGATTTAATCACTAGAAAATGGAAGGATAACGTCAAGTTGGTACAAGTGATCAAGTTGTTTTTAATTGATGAAGTTCATTTACTTAACGATAAAAGCAGAGGACCCACATTGGAAGTTATAGTGAGTGTCTTAATTTTTTTTAACTGTTGGTTTTATTATTTTATTATCATTATTCCCGGCTCAAACAAAAGTTTGACGTCATAACTGTTTAAGCAGAGACTTTATAGTGCTGTTTTTTTAAATATTTTTTAACGTGTTTGCAAGTCATTGTTAAAACAAAAGTTTGACGTCATAACTGTTTAAGCAGAGATTTTATAGTGCTGTTTTTAAAATTATTTTTTTAACGGTTTTGCAAGTCATTGTTAAAGATTTGTTAAATTATGCCATTTTTAGGTAAGTAGAATGAAGACAATAGAAAATGCCATAAACGCCAAAGAAAAAATCAGAATAATGGCGGTATCAGCTACAGTTCCAAATATTGAAGACGTAGCCAATTGGATTGGCTCAAAATTAAACACTTGTTTCTATAAGTAAAACCTCCTAAAAAATATTAAAATTTTATAAACACAATGACGTAATTTTAGATTTGCTGACGACATGCGTCCAGTGCCCCTGAAAAAAATAGTTTTTGGTTACGCGTTCGACAGCAAAAATGGAACTCATTTTAAGTTTGATTTATCTTTAAACTATAGGCTACAAAATTTGTTGATACAATATTCCAATGGAAAACCCACTTTGGTAAGTGAACTTTACATAGATTTTGTGAAATTTGTATCAATTTATATATTCTTTTAGATATTTTGCAGCACCAGAAAAAGCGTGGAAATGACAGCAAAACATTTAGTGCAAAATTTAACGATAAATTTGAATGATCAACAGAAAAAAAGATTGCAAGAAGCTGCCGGCACAATACAAGATGTTAAGGCAAAAAATACAATAGCTCATGGAGTTGGATATCATCATGCAGGTAAATATTTTTTTTTAATTTTATGGTTAAAAAAATTTTCTTTTCGATTTTGTTATCGAATTTTTTGTTTGTATTTTTTAGCATCCGGATCATTTTTTAATTTTTTCTTGTGAGTTTTGGATTAAAAAATGCATTTTAGCAATGTTTGGAAAAATTATGGTTCTTTTAGATTTTGTTATCGAATTTTTGGTTTGTATTTTTTTTGACATTCATTTTTTTTATTTTTAAATTATTTCTTTTAATTTTTGTTTTTATTTTTGGATTTATAAAAATGCATTTTGTTGGTATTTTTTTTGGCATCCGGTTTTTTTGATTTTTAATTTTTTCTTGTGGATTTTTATTTGTATTTTTTTTTAAATTTATATTTTGAATTTTGATTTTAAAATAGTCATTTATTTATATTATTTTTGTTTGTATTTTTTGGCACACGGTTTTTTTATTTTTAAATTTTTTCTTGAGATTTTTGATTTTAAAAAAATGCATTCTTGTAATTACAAAAAATTATTGTTCGTTTCGGATTTTTTGTTTGTATTTTATGTATTTTTTTGGCATTCTGTTTTTTTATATATAATTGTTTTCTTGTGATTTTTGGATTAAAAAAATGCATTTTTGTAATGTTTGGAAATATTATTGCTTTTTTAGATTTTGTTTGTTATTTATGGCATCCGGTTTTTTTCGATTAAAAAAAAATACATTTTTGTAATATTTGGAAAAGATATTGGCGGATTTGTTATCGGATTTTTTGTTTGTATTTTATGGATTTTTCTGGCATCCGGCTTTTTATTTTTAAGTTTAAAAATAAATGCATTTAATGTTTGGAAAGATTAATGTTATTTTCGATTTTGTATTTTTTTGGCATCTGGTTTTTTTTAAATTTTTTCTTGTGATTTATGTTTTTATTTTTGGATTAAAAAAAAATGCATTTTTGTAATGTTTGGAAAAAATATAGTTCTTTTAAATTTTGTTGATTTTTATATGCATTTTTTTTTTAATTAATATTTTTGAATTTTGATTTAAAAAAAAGTCACTTATTTATATCATCAGGCAAAGAATTGAGCATTGTGCTGGGTATAAAAGACACTTGGCTAAATAGTATACAACATTTCATCTTCAAGGCACAATTTAATTTGTTAAATGATACTTAAAATGTACAATTAATATAATAAGGTTAGATAGACCTGACAGAAGTCGAATTTTTTGATTGGGCCAAAGTAATAAATAATGAATTTGTACGTCCTAGGCCATAAATAACCCAACCATTTTTAATCACAGTGTTGACAGCAATAAAGTTTAAATTATAGACCGATTTTTTTAAATTGTTTTTGGATTTAAAAGTTCTTTTGTATTTTTTGCCATTTGATTTTCTTGCGAACCGTCAAACCGAATTTGCTAGTTTTTGTTTTAAATTGTAGGTTTATTCTTTGGTTATGACGCCTTTATTAAAATATTTTTTCAAATTTACGTTTTGAGTACATACAGGGTAGGGTGCAAGAGTAATAATAAGTTTTTTCCTGTAAATTTGAAACGCCCTGTGGGATGTACCAGCTAAAACAGCATACGTCTCTTATAATCAAACCATAGGCCCATCTTCTCTTAACTTTTTTTTTAATTCACCGCGTTATCTTTATTTTTAAAGAAATATACGTCATCAAGGGAAGCAGGTATCATGATTTCTTAGTCGTCTACCCATATTATCCCAAAAATGCTCACTGGGGTTGAGATCCGGACTATTTGCAGGCCAGTCTAAAGTTTCAACACCCACCTCATGTAAGTATTGGACTATATGGGCGGTATGAAAGTCTTGCGTTATCCTGCATCAGTAAAAAATTATAACCGATGGGTAAAGGGAAAGGGACAACATGCTCAGATAAAATGTCCTCGGTATATCGTACACTATTCATGGTACCTCCACGAACAATGACGAGTTCTGTGCAAGCTGTCAAGGAAATTCCTCCCCAAACCATTACAGAACCTCCAATTAATAGCGTGGTTTCACGAATGTTACACTGTGAAAATCTCTTTTTGGACGTCGGAGAACCCTTACTCGCCGATCAGAGCTGAATAAACAAAACCTGGACGCGTCTGTAAATAGTACACGCTGTCAATCCTCAATATTCCAGCAAACATGTTGTCTGGCAAATTGCAGTCTTGCTCTACGATGATTTGCATTTAACTTCGGTCCTGTTGCTGGAATTCTGAAGGTCAAATTATGTTCCACAAGACGTCTTCTTACGGTGGACACACTTGTTTGAAAATTATGAGTAGCATTAAGTTGTACCTGTATATTTCTTGCTGTTACGATCATGTACGGCTGTTGTCATTCGATGCCTTTCCTGCCCATCACGTCTACTATGATCGTTGGTTTCTTTAAAACCTCAAATAGCACGGTAGCTTAATCGTTGCTCGGCCAATGTAATAATTCTTACACATTCATCACGATTCAAATTTCTCACTTGGCGCTCCATTACAATAACTTTATGAAGACAACTTAAAAGAAAATTACAGTTTCTGACCTACCATGACCTACCTATGTTAAGTTCTTTCATTTTACATTAAACTGGAGTTATTTAGTCTTTAACCGTATATCTCATTTAAAAAAATAGATAGCGACGTGAATCAAAAAACAAAATGTTAAGAAAATATAGGGCTACAGTTTAATTATATGAGTCATATGCTGTAAAAGCTGATACAACCCACAGGGCGTTTCAAATTTCCTGGAAAAAACGTATTATCACTCGTGCACCCTGTATAGACTCAAAATGTAAATTTGAAAAAATATTTTAATAAACGCATTATTACCAAAGAATAAACCTACAATTTAATAAAAAAAAATCATCTTTGCTTTTTCGATTTTTTGAATTTATTTTGAATTTGTTTGCACTTCTAAAATAAAGGTATGCTTCCGGAAACGAAACATGCAATAGAGAACTTGTTCAGAAACAGCGATTTGCCAGTTCTAGTCACCACTAGCACGTTGGCGATGGGGGTTAATCTGCCCGCGCATTTGGTCATAGTGAAATCAACAAAATGTTACGCTCAAAACGGTTTCGAGGATTACAGCGAAACGGCCATAATGCAAATGATAGGCAGAGCCGGAAGACCGCAATTCGACACGAGCGGAACTGCCATCATACTCACCACAACTCAAGACCGAGTGAGTATTTATCCATTTTAATTGAAGGATTTGAATTTTAATTGCCATGGTAAGTAAAATAAATAAAATAAAAGAACCGCAAAAATATTTTCGAAACAAAATCAAAAATTCATCAGTAGTATGGCTAAAAATGTACCCACATTTTATTGTTGAGATAATTACGTCAGGTTTTTGAGTCACAAAAGATTAATTCCATGACAAACGATACTGAGGGTAAAAATATAAATATGTTCTTTTCGCATTAAATCTGATGAATTTTGAAAGAAAACATTTCAAATTAAAATGTACGACAAAACAAATTAGAAGAAACGCGTAATTTTTTTAAGTTAATTAGACTTTAAAATCTGTACTGAAGTAAATTGGCTGAATGACTATTGCGCCTCTAACTATTGGAAATACGAAAAAAAATATCTGTCATCTGTCTCCCGTTTTGCCACGTTGCGTTTAAAGTTTATTTATCGTAAAGTTCATTTTTTTTTATCTGGACTGCGGCAACGTTGCAAATTTAGGGTTTTGGTTGGTAAATACAGTTGTCAAGTTGGTCGCATTGATTAAAACAAACTAAGCTAGTTATAAATCTAATTGTGGTTATGTATAAATTATTGTAGGTTACATTGTGCAGTTGTCAAGTTGGATTGTCGAAATTCGTAGTTAAAAATGCAATTAATTTGGCTTTGGTGGTGCTTGGATGAGTAAAATCATATAAAAAAGTAGTTAAATACAGGTTGCTTTACGGCCCAGAAGAGAAAATATTCCTAGCGGATAATAATCTTCGCTTTGAAAAGAATTTATATAAAAGAAATTAAAATTTTTTGTGAACGTAAATGTGGTCCAATGGCGAATAATGGGAAAATAATGTGTTTATAAAACCAAATTCGTTACTTTTTTACTCCAAAAATGTGCATAAGGCGATGTACTTTTTCTTCCATTGGGACATTTGGCATAATTTCATAAAAATGGGCTTTTACATTCGAATTTGTTGCTATTATTTTTGGCATAATTATCTTTTTATTTATATTTGACAAGTAAATTATCAATAATAAATATTATTGTCAATTTGACAGTGTCAAAGAATTTAATTAAATTCTTTAGCAGAAGTACCATTTTTAAATACTAAAAATACTAAGTCAAACTGGCAAAAGCCACCAACCTAACAAAAAAACACGAGTCCAGATAAAAAAATTAACTTAGTATTGGTGGATTGCGTCACTGTCCCGAAAAAGTTGATAATTATCACGTTATGGGTGTGTTTTCTTCTTACTTTGTCACTGTAACACCCGTAACGAAAAATCAGTTAGGTAATTGTTTTATTATTATACCTTACAAATTGATTAGTGTAATAATATTTAGTAAAAGTAAGGTTAGGGTGGTAATAATTTAAAATACTAACTCATATCTGAGCATAAGACTAATTTGATAGGATTTTTTCTTGATTAAAAACTGTAACACCCGAAACGTTTCGATATATGTGTGTGTAAAATTTTATAAAAAAAAATACTTATGACAGTGACAGTGGTAGATGGTTAGTAAATATTATACTTTTGGAGTCCTGTAAATTTTAGGAATGTTTTCCTAAGAAAATTCGCTGAATTTCAAACAAATCTAACAATGGTCTGGACCTAGAGGCAAAAACGCACACTTTTCGACTTATTAAATCATAATTGTACTAATTTTACAATTTAGATAGAATAACTAAAAACGTAGAAAATAAGGCACTTTAATTGCTAAAATATTATTTCAAAATACATAAAAATTTTTACTTTGGTTGAACAAATGTAACACCCGAAATGAGGGAACCCAAAAGTCTTTAACATCCTTTTTTTCAAAAATCTTTTCTGCTTTCCGAGGATATTTTCAATCGACAAAAACAAAATATACTCGTAGTAAAACTTTTATTTTTACAAAGCACAATTCAATAATGTTTCCTGCATTTAAAATAAACATTATTTTTTACCCATGCATGCATGTCCGATCTATCCTCTAATGGGTGCGATGGGACTGGGTATCGGAGCCTGATTCTGAAAAGATATCCTAGGTACGAATCCGGATTCACCATCCACGGTGTAATCCACGGTCATCAATCTACCATCGGGCAGATACACGTAGTATTGGCCCACAACCCTGCCAGCTGGGTCGGCTGCTTCGTTTTGACCGAAATAGGTGTTGGTCGGTGCATTGTCCACTTTGTAGTTGAAGTCGTACTAGAAAATGTTAAGCTATAATAATCCTATCTACTCCTGCATTTACCAAATCACCACTACACGCGAAGAGCACGTGGAAAACACACATCCTATTGATCAATCTGCTATAAAAGGCGACGCTTGTTAAAAAGTGAGGTTAAAACTGTTTGACAGATGTCAGATTGAAAAAAAGTTAGGTTATCGGATTTTTCGTTTAGGTTTCTTTTTCAATCCAGTTAAGAAAAGTTGTATAGGTTTTTTCATCAGTAAAATATGTTTAACAATCACGTGACCTTAAAAAATATAATTACAAACGAATTTAAAACATTTTTGACAGTTTTTGCCCAAAACTATTATCAATTCACGAACGCTAGCCCAAACTAGATTCTGGTTACCTAGTACCTTTTGCTTTGTGATTTGTACTTTGCAGACCCGCTCATTTTTTAATTTCTGCGGTGTAAGATCCAAAAAGATTTAGTAATTTGAGGTTGGGTCATCTGTCAAATTAATATTTTCTTGGCCGTTGCTAGTCGTCCGTATATTCGGACGATTAATATATTTTATTCATCCGATGATCGGACGATTAGACAAGTCGAAAGGCCGTTGCTAGTCGTCCGATCATCGGATGAATAAAATATATTAATCGTCCGTATATTCGGACGATTAATATATTTTATTCATCCGATGATCGGACGACTAGCAACGGCCTTTCGACTTGTCTAATCGTCCGATCATCGGATGAATAAAATATATTAATCGTCCGGTAATAACATAAATAAATAATAAAAAGATTATCGGACTCAAACTCAACAACACAACCCAACCGACCCCGCCCCATTGCCCCCCCCCGCCCCATTGAACAAAAAACCCAACTAAAATGGGCAAATTTATGTTACGATAAAAATAAAACACTTTTTTACAAAGCAACAACAAATTTATGAAATAAAAAAAGTTCGACAACTTCTAGTAGATTTTATGTTACGATAAAACTAAAACAAACCAACCAACCCAACCCAACCGAACACTGTTTAACAAAGAAACAACAAATTTATGAAATAAAAAAATAAAAAAAATTCGACAGCTTCTTAGTATCGAACCCGGGACCTCTCGCATGACAAGCGAACACCCTACCATATAAGCTATCTAGCTTATTGTCAAATATTAAACGGTCGGTGAACAAAAGCGAATTATAATTATGACGTAACTAACGTTATGTTGTTACCGGACGAATAATATATATTAGTCGTCCGTATGTTCGGACGATTAATATATTTTATTCATCCGATGATCGGACGATTAGACAAGTCGTATTTTCTTCGATATAAATAACTGAGTTTTGTCAATTTTTTTCGGAATTTTATGGTAAACTTGGTGAATGTTGCACTTTTTGAAATACTAGGCAAAATTTTAAACATTCTGACAGTTTTTTATCAAGTTTTAAAATTAAATGAGATGAGAATTTGAAATAATCAGTTTTTGAAATATTTAGTTTGTTAACGTAAGAGCGCTGTGATTTTTATTTTTCGTAACTATGTATCAAAAAGAAATGACGTTAGGCTGTTTAATTCAATATCGATAAAAAGAAAAAGAATATTAGAACTGTGAAATAGTTAGTTGTATCGTGGAAGCGCAATTCTTTTACGTTTCGTTTTAAAAATTTGTGTATAACAATTGTACAATAAAAAGGATAAAACAATATTATTTTGGCCCAATTATTCCACTGAGATAAAAATAACCAACAGGTTATGGGCACAGAGCAGAAACGCCAAGATCTGAAAATTGTTTAAAAATAGCAATAAAAAGATGGATGCAAAATTGAATCTTGATAAGTTAGTTGAGTCTGCAGAAGGAAATGGAAAGTCAAATTATGTTGCTTGGAGCTTCAAATTAAATTTATTGCTTCTTTTAAAAGGACTGCTTAAAATTGTTACTGATGAGACTTTTAAACCATTTAACACAGACGAGGGTTATGCAGCTTGGGTTAAAAAGGACATAGAAGCCCAAACTTTTATTGGATTAAATGTGAACGAGAATATTGCTCTAAAAATCACTACATGTTTTACATCAGCAAATATGATTGAAAGGCTGGAAACATTGTACGGAAAGAAAAGTCAAAAATTTGTTGACTGCTGCAACAACAATTTTTTGCTTATAAATATAATGAAACGAAAACAGCAGTTGAAAGCTGTTTGGCAATTGATGGACTGGCGCAAGAATTGAAAATCAATGGAGAAGATATCAAGGACATTTGGCTAATGGCACGAATTTTAACTTGTTTGCCTGCAAAATTTGATCATTTTTATGCAGCCTGGCAGTCAGTGGCTGAAATTGATAAAACGCTCATAAATTTAAGGAATCGTTTGCAACAAGAAGAGTTAAGACTACAAGGACGTGAATCAGAGACAGTAAGCAACGCACTTGTTGGAAAATTTATTAAGTCTTGGAAAAATCAACAAAATAAAAATTTGTCAGATCAATCAAAGGCAAAATGTTACAAATGCGGCGTGTCTGGACATTTTAAACGTGATTGTCACAACAAACCATGTCAGAACTATTTAGATTATTGTAAAAAGAATTATAACTGTCAAAATTGTCACGAAAAAGGACATTTCTCGAATGAATGTTCTAATAAGAAGTCAAGTAATGAAGGTTACAAAGTGAAATCATTTGTCTCAGTTGTACTCAGTATTAAAAGGATTATCGTTATTTGTAAAAGAGCACTTTTTGTATGAACTATGGATAAAGGATAGTGGTGCGACACATCATTTAACTGGAAATTTAAAGTGGCTGTCAAATATACGTTCATTGGGAACACAAATTCCAGTTGAGATTGGGGATTCAACAAAATTAGAAGGTACAGCTTTAGGAGACGTTTATTTGTATGCTTATGATGGCGAAGAATGGCGTAAAATTGTTTTGAAGGATGTTTTGTTTGTTCCTGAGCTTTCGTTCAACCTTTTTTCAGTCACAACAGTCCTGGATAAAGGTTATACGCAATCTGCAACCGCAGAAAAGTCAGTAATTATGGAACAAGGTAAACCAGTATTAATAGCTAAGAGGACAGGTGGTTTATTTCACATGATGTTTCGTGAAATGAAAGAGTATAGTTTGCGAACAGTTAGCTTAAAACTATGGCATGAACGTTTAGCACATCAAAACGTTAGTCACGTGAAATATATTTTAAAGAAGAATAAAATAAAATATATTGATGACTGGGAAGATAATGTCTGTAAAGGTTGTGTGTATGGGAAACAACACAAAGTTTCTCATCCAACAAATAATATCGTAGCAAAGAATTCTTTGGACAGAGTACACGTTGATCTTGGAGAAATGAATGTTCGTTCTCTCGGTGGTGCAAAGTATTTTTTACTATTTAAGGATGATTATAGTCATTTTCGGACTATTTACTTTCTAAAACACAAGTCTGAGGCAGTAGATAAATTAAATATTTACTTGAATCTAGTCGAGAATCAATTTAGTCGGAAAGTAAAAATATTGATGTCAGATAATATAATATATAATATAACGGTACGGAAATTTTTGAACAGCTTGGAATATTTCACGAACGATCAGCAACTTATACACCACAGCAAAATGGGAGAATTGAGAGAGAAATGCGTACTATAGTTGAAGCTGCACGTGCTGAAATTTACACCCATGATTTTGGACAAGACTTATGGGCAGAAGCATTGAATTATTCAGTATTTACGATTAATCAAACTGTAAATAGCAGTATTGGTGGAAAAACTCCTGCAGAATTGTGGTTTGGTTGGAGAATTTTGAAAGTTCTGAAAGTGATCAGGTAGAACCGACAGATGATAATATTAAAGATTTACCAAAATATGGACTGAGAAATCGTCAAGGGATAAAATCTCATCCAAAATATAAAGATTATGTAATGATTGGCGAAGGTGAAAACATATCAGTTGAAAATGCACTAAGAGATCCTCGTTGGAAGGAAGCAATGCGAGAAGAGTTTAATTCATTGCAAGATATGAAGACATGGAAATTAGTTAAATTACCGGAAGATAGAAAACCGTTAACATGTAGATGGGTGTTACGAGAAAAAGCAGATGGTCGTGTAAAGGCACGTCTAGTAGCACGTGGTTTTGATCAACAACGTGGAATATAATTATATTGAAACATTTGCACCTGTTGCTCGACATGCAAGTATTAGATTATTGTTAAGTTATGAAATAGGAAAAAGAATGTATATTCGTACATTTGATGTCAACACAGCTTTTCTAAATGGAGAATTGTCTGAAGAAATTTATATGTTACAGCCAGAAGGCTTTGATAACAAGTCTGGGAAAGTCTGTCTACTAAAACGAAGTTTGTATGGCTTAAAGCAAGCATCGAAAGATTGGCATAAAAAGTTTACTAAAAGCTTAAAAAAATTAGACCCATGTATTTTTTACAATGAAGAGAAGACAGTGATGATTGGAATATTTGTAGATGATGGAATAATGATTGGTTATGATTGATTCAAAGGAAGATAGAACAAGTTTTAGTCGGATTAAGCAGAGAGTTCAAAATGAAGTTCTCAACTCCGAAGGGCAGAAAACTATTTTATCTTGGAATGGAAATTGAACTGATGAAAAATGGAATATCAGTTACACAGCAGAAATACACTCAAAAGATATTGGCACGTTTTGGATTTGAAGATGCACATCCTGTTTCAACACCAATTGAACCTGGAATGCAGACAGAAAATAAAGTAAATGACAAACTTTTGAAGGACAAGCCGTTTCGAGAGGCTATTGGTAGTTTGTTATACTTGTCAACAATTTCAAGACCAGATATAAGTTTCGCTGTAAATTTTTTAAGTCGAAGAGTTAGCAAACCAAGTGTTAGTGATTGGAAGATGGTCGAACGAGTTTTTCGATAACTCAGAGGAACAGAACACTTTGGTATATTTTTCAATGATGATGCAAATTTAAAAGCATACCCAGATTCAGACTATGGGGGAACAGAAGCTGACATGATATCTACTAGTGGTGTACTAATTGAACTTGGAGGAC